ATTGTGTTTATTAGAGTTCTTATCTTTCAAAGTTGCCTGATTTTACAAATGGTTCTCCTGGTTCTGTTCACTTCACTCTGTATCAGTTCATACAAGCCTTCCCAGGTTTCTCTGAAACTGTCCTCTTCATCACTTTTTATAGCACAATAGTATTCCATATATAGATGCTGCAGTGGATAGAGCGCTGGGCCTGGAGTCGGGAAGACTCATTTTCCTGAGTTCAAATCTGGCCTCAGACATTTATTAGCTGTGTGATTCTGAGCAAGTTATTTAACCCTGTTTGCCTCACTTTCCTCATCTGTAAAATGAGCCGGAGAAGGAAATGGTAAACCACTCTAGGACCGTTGCCAAGAAAACCCCAAAGGGGGTCAAGAAGAGTCAGACCCATGTGAAATGACTGAACAACAACAAAAAGTATTTCATTACAACCCATAATCTTCAGTTGAAAGCTCATTTACATAACACTTTCCTCATTGGTGATTGATTACTCAAAGTCCTATGACTGTGTGAGGGGCAGAGTTGGCAACAGATTGGGAGAAGAGAGATTTTCATCTTCTGGCTTTCAGAATCAAGAAGAAGACATGTGGTTCCAGATTCTCTTTCGGTGCTTGAAGAAAGAGAAAGACTCCGGGAAGAAGCTGACATAGAGAGGAGCTGGCACCTCAATCATGTCCCTGACCTCAGTTTACTACACTAGAGATTTCAGGGAATTTGTCTTAGCTGAGATAGTGTGCTCCCAGTAGGAGAGGTCATTCACTTTGTGTATTATCTGGCATATGGATTTCTGTTTTAATATCATATTGGTAGAATACGTGCATTATATATGTTATATTTGTTCAAGCTATAATTTTAGATAAATGAGTTTGTTTGCTATGAAGTATGTTCTTTGTGGAACTATCATTCAACAGGAAGTGAGTCAAACCTTGGATATATAGCTTTGGGCATTCCTTTCCCATTAAGCTATTGTAATCAGAAGCTCAACTTGAATGTAAATATCTCCCTTAGACCAAAAAAATTAGTAGGGCAGATAGATGTAATTCTAGTCCAGCACTCTTTCTCTAAGGGGAGCAGCGGCCAGCCTCTGCCTGAGCCTTGGGACAACTTCACTCAATGACTGATGAGCCCCTGCCTGGAACCTCCATTATCATGAGAATGCTTACCCTCACTATTCATTTTCTTCTACAGGCTCACTCTCTAGCCTGCCCCACATCCACACTAGCTGCCTGGCTTCCTGGGCACAATAATTACCTACCTGAACTCATTCCTCAATGATTAGCATAGGTGCAGTGGATAGAATGCTGGGCCTGGAGTCAGGAACAGATTCAACTTCATGAGTTAAAATATGGCCTCAGGTGCTTACTAGCTGTGTGACCCTGGGCAAGTCACTTCACCCTGTTGGCCTCAGTTTCCTCATCTGTCAAATGAACTAGTGAAGGAAATGGCAAACCACTCCAGTATTTTTGCCAAGAAAATCCCAAATGAGGTCAAGAAGGGTTGGACACAACTGAATAACAACAACAACCTGGAATCTGTGAACTTTTTTTTTTTGCTAGCTGTATTTCAATATAATTGGCTTCCTTTGTAATCCTATATTTCACTTTAGCCATTTACAAACATTATTCTGATAATGTCTATAGGCATCACAGGACTGCCAAAGGAGTCCATGATACTAAAAGGTTAAGAACACCTAGTGTAGGGTAAAGGTCTTACTTCCAAATGATGGGGTTTTTTTCCTCTGAAAATTTTAAAAAACTCTTAAAAATCCAAATTACAAACAGAATTTATAAAGTACTTTGAGCCCCCAGTCAGTCTGTTCGTTTGGATTGTTGATATCTCAGCCAGATAAATTTAATAATCATATAGACACAGGTTCCTCTTCTCTTTCTCACACCCCATAGCAACACAAACTCACATTAAAATGATCTTATCTTTATTTAGCAAACCACTGCCAAAAAATAGGTAAATAACCAGTAGGCAGAAATATAAATAGCAAAGAAATCCTTAATAATTAACCTTGTCTACTCTTGCTAGAGCAAGAGAAAAACCAAATGATCACTCTGCTGGATTCTCTTAATAAACTGAACTGTGAACCAGGGAAAGAAAAAAGATTCCCCTCACCATGCCTCGGTCTCATGGGAAGAGGTGTCCATGTACCATCTCCAAAGCTGCTCCTGTAGCCACCTCCCACTGTTGGAGCTGTGCTCTTTTCTCTGACTCTCCTCCTATGGCTCTCCAGAGACTTCTTTGAAACTCCCACTCCACCAGAAACTCTGCGGTCAGTGCTTTAAGAAATCTGTTTTCAATCTTACTCAATCTGGGCTGATTTTCCCACTTCCGAGGGTTCATCATATTGATACCAGACTCAGTTGAGATACTATGTGTAGCTCAGAACTCCACAGGTCAAAAGATATGCCAGCCTCCGCGTGCACGGTAGCATGTGCCCCCACACCAGCCCTTCCAGTCCTGCTCGTGTTTTAAAAGTTCTCTGTTTTTGGACTTGATATAATTCCCAGGGTCTTCAGCCTTCCTTTGAGCAATCAGTCTGGTCTTGCTGGAGGGCTCTTTTGAGAAGTACAAGGCTTAACATTTGTCCCCACTGAATTTCATCTTATTAGTTTCAGTCTAATGCTCTAGACTATCAAAATCCTTTTGGATCTTGACTCTTCATTGACAGCATCAACTATTCCTCTCAGCATTGTGCCAGCTGCAATCTGATGAGGCTTCATCTAAGTTAGGTTCTCAGACTTTTTGGTCTCAGGACCCCTTTACACTGTTAAACATTATTGAGGACCCTGAAGAGCTTTAATTTATATAGGCTATATCCATTGATATTTACCATATTAGAAATTAAAACTGATGAAATTTAAAAACATTTCCTAATTCATTAAAATAATAATAAACTCATTATACATGAATTTAACTGACAAATTTTTTAATGGAAAAAACCCCCTATATTTTCCAAAATGAAAAAAATGATGAGTGGCATTGCTTTACATATCTTTGAAAATCTCTTTAATGTCTGGCTTAATATAGCTGAATTCTCATAACTGCTCCTGTATTCAGTTTGTTGTGATCTGTTGTTTTGGTTGAAGTATATGAAGAAAATCTGGCCTCACACAGATATATAGTTGGGAAAAGATGCAGAATTTTAACAGGCGATATTTTTTTTTTTTGGCAAGGTAATTGGAATTGAGTGACTTACACAGCTAGTAAGTGTCAAGTGTCTGAGGTCGCATTTGAACTCAGGTCCTCCAAACTCTAGTGCCAGTACTCTATTCTAGTATGAAACCTAGCTGCCCCAGCAAATAAAATCTTAATATTCTTATGAAAACAGTTTTGACTTTGTAGACTCCCTGAAAGGGTATCCAGTACCCCTGGGGATTCCCAGGATGCATTTTAAGAACCACTAATCTAAAACCTTAGTAAAAAACATTAGACTGCAGAAGAGTAAGCACAGATCCCTGAGGGTACTCCACTGGAGACCTCCTGTCAAATTGACATTGAACTATTAAACTACTCTCTGAGTCCCATCATTCAACCAGTTTCCAGTTCTTCAGATTATATTATTGTCTAATCCAAATATCTTCATCTTTTCCATAAGTATGAGATACTTTATCCAAAGCTTTTCTAAAAATGTAGGTAAACTATATACATAGCATTCCTCTCATCTGTAATCCTGTCAAAAAAGGAAATGGGGTTAGTTTAGCATGAATGGTTCTTGATGGAAGTCATACTGGCTCTTCATAACCACTGTTTCTTTTTCTGTTTGTTTGCCAACTATCTCTTTAATGATCCATTCCAGACTTTTCATAGGAATCAAAGTCAAGTCAACTGGCCTGTAGTTTGCAGACTGTTTTCTTGTCCCCCCTTTTTAAAAATCAGCATTGCTTTTCTCCAATCTTGAGGTATCTCTCCTATTTTCTTTTCTTTTTTTTAAGTGAGGCAATTAGGGTTAAGTGACTTGCCCAGGGTCACACAGCTAGTGTTATGTGTCTGAGGCCAGATTTGAGCTCAGGTCTTCCTGACTCCATGGCTGGTGCTCTATCCACTGCACCACCTAGCTGCCCTGGTACCTCTCCTATTTTCCATGATCTTCCAGCTATCACTGATGATGGTTCAGCAGCCACATCTGCCATGTCTTTCAGTATCCAAGGATATAGCTCATTTGGGCATTCAAATCCACTTGAATTCCTTAAGAATAAAAGAGCTAGGTGCTCATTTATTATCCTTTTATTTTATCATTTCCAATCTAAAGGTCATTCTCCTTAGTAGATAATAAAACAATATAAAATAAAACAAAATAAAAAACAATAAAAAGAATCTAGCAGCTGTCTTTTTTCTGTTGCTGGTTATCATCGTCCTGGGTCCTATTCCTTTCAGAGTCTTGTACCAGAGTCAGACTCAGGATTCATGTCTCCAAATTCAGCATTCCCTCCAGTATAAGATGGCACCTCCCTACTACATATCACACCAAATTGACTTTAAGTAAGTTGTAACCCCATAGGGCTCTGTTGTGGGCCTACCAACAAGGTTTCTCACAGCAACAATTAACTGAATCAAAGAGAACAGACACTGTGTTTAGAGTCAAGGATGCTTTTTCTTTAAATGTTTCTATAGAACATGTTTTATACACATTTTAAAACAGGATATGGTGAGGTTAAGGAAAGTTTTATGAAAGAATACTTCTTTACATTCTACCTTGGGTCCCAGAGCAAGGACTAGGGTGAATAATTTAGTCTCTATGATATTCTAGAACTGGTTGTTAACCAACTGTTAACAGTACAGTGTTCTAAGCAGTTAAGTTGGCCAGAGGCAGATGTACTGGACCTCTCCCCCTTGTGTCCACGTCCTTGCCAATTGGAGCTCTTAAGAGAAAAAAAAAAGAGAACCACTAGACACCAGAAGAAAAAAGTCTAGAGTGGAGGAAAGACTAGATTTAGCAGGAAGGATCTTAAATTCCAGACTGCCGACTGATTGTCTGAGGCTTTGGGTTATGGACCTGTCAATGGATTTGTAAACAATATGGTATTGGCGCTGATAAATTAGCACTTCAGTATTATAATTTATTAAACCTCTACGGAAACCATATTAGTGTGATTTTTTTCACCATATGAAGCCCTTTGGTTATGTGGCTCAAGGGCTAATTTCCTTAAACTTACAAAAAAATGGCACATCATTGGGTTTAAAAGAAAAAAATCATCTAGTGAGGAAACGCAATATATAAATTGTCCCCCAGGTGGTGCTCTGCTTTTGAGCCATCAGTTCTACTTCCAATTTCTGTTTCTGGTACAGGGCTAAGACAGATCTTTCCTGAAGGCAGCAGTACTCACTGTGCCACCTAGCTGCCCCCTCTGTCATTTCTTAACAGAGGAACAATGTTCCATTACATTCACATACCACAATTTGTTCAACCACTCCCCAGTTGATGGGTACCCCACCCCAAGATTCCAGATTTTACTTCTTACCCCTTTTAATCCCTTCTTCAGAATCAGGAATTTGGCTTTGTATGTGATTAGTCTCACCCTGGTATTATCCCTCCTTTTAACTCTCCCTTTCCATCCCACTCTCCTCTTCTGTTGGATTCCCTGTTGAGTCCCACGTTTTCTATACCAAACTCTGCATGTGTATGAATTCTCCTCGTCCATTTCAGATAATAGTGCAGTTCATCTAATACACTCTGCCTTCTCCCCTTTCTTCCATGCTTGTTTACGTAAGCTTCTTATCATGTGCTCTAATTATGAGAAATAGTAAGTTACATCCCATTTTTCTTTTTCCCCCCACTAGTATAGTGTTTCTCTCTGCCCCTCTTAAGGGGAATATCTTGAGGCCTGTAGCCAAAGGACTTCCAGAACTGATGAGTTACCACAAGTGTTCCCTAAGCTTGAGCCTCCTTTCCCCTGAACTTTTTATGTACTTGTGGGAGAAGGTATCACAGACATTTGAAAGGACATTTTATGCCAGCTCTTCTTACTATATTACCTAGATAAATACCCCTTTCTAAAATGTAATTATGTGGCTAATTGATAATCCACTACTAATATGGAGAGAATACACCAGAATGGAGGTTTGAGCCTGTGGCATTAAAAAGATGAGCCCCTCAATGTGGGAAAACTGGGACACTAAGGCACTGTTGGTGGAGCTGGGACCTGATCTAACCATTGTGGTAAGCAGTTGGGAGCTATGCCCAAAGGGCTATAAAACTGTACATACCCTTGTACAAAATGTCTAACATGGAAGCATTTGACATGATTGCACCTATATATCCTACATCTGATTGCTTACCATTTCAGGGAGCATTTTAGGGGAAGGAGGGAGGAAAAAAGGAGAAGAATTTAGAACTCAAAACTTAAAAAACCCAAATGTCAAAAATTGTTTTAACACATAGTTGGGGGAAAATAAAATATGATCTATTGAAATACTAATAACAAAAAGGACAAGCCCTCTAGGATTAACCATAGGATTCTGAGGGCATGTAGTAGCCATGTTCTGGTGAGCTGACTCAGCAATTTAGGTGAGTGTTAGAATAAGGATTCCAAAAGCTTACCTGTACTTACATTATTAAGGATTTTAGGAAGGAAGAAAGGAAACAAACGTTTATTAAATACCTACTATGTGTCAGGCACTGTGTTAAGTGCTTTACAATTAATTATCTCATTTCATCCTCACAGCAACTCTGAGAGTCAGGTGCTAGTATTATCCCCACTTTATAGATAAGGAAATGAAGGCAAACAGAAGTTAAGTGACTTGCCCAGGGTCACACAACTAGTAAATGTCTGAGGCCAGATTTGAACTCAGGAAGATGAGTCTTCCTGACTGCAGGTCTAGCACTTTATCCATTGTATCACCTAGCTGTTTCAGACAGTGCCTTGTCAAAGGAATCTTGTCTTGTTAAGGGGACACAAGAAAGGTCCAGTAAGGCCTTCCCAGACTCTTTAGTAAGAACAGATATGGAGTATGGGATTTAGGATATATGTTTCATATTTAGACTTGCCTGAATTCCATCTATATCTCCCTCCAGTGCCTATGAAAGGGATGTGTAGGATAGAATAATAATATTATACATTTAAATAGTACTTTATAATTGCAGATCACTTTTACTCATTTGGTCTCCACAATAGTTGTCTGAGGTGGGTGAATACAGATATTATCGCCATTTGACAGATAAGGAAACTGAGGCATGATTTTTCTAATCACGCAGCTAACAAGTGATGAAACAGGACTTGTACTCAGATTTTCTGACTTGCAGCCAAATGTTCTTTCCATTATACCATGTTGCCTCTGGGAGTGAGTGTCTTAGGAAATGGGAACCAGAAAGCTCCAGCAGGAAAGAAACAAATCTTACCCTTTCTATACCTCACAGGGATATCCCAGGATATCCAAGAATGTATGGTCATGGCTGAAAGGCAATGGGACTCAATCCCTTCAGCATGGAACATCAAAAATCTATTGGAATCAGTCCAGAAAACCTCTCAGGTGAGGCCATCTGACACACTCACCTCGCTTCAGACAACAGGAGATGGATCTACACAGCCAGCTAGACAAAAATCAGTCGTTCTAAAGACATCATTGAGCAAAATCTTGGGAGTTAGCAATAGATTTAGCTACAACTACTAAGGCCAGTCCGTGTCCATGTCACTGGTCTGAGTCTTCCTTCTCTGGGTCTCTTCCTTCTCCCTGTCCTCCTCTCTCTCCTTCCTCTCACTACTTCCTTCCTTTTCTTTTTCTCAACTCTTCTTCCCCTAGTCTATCTGCTTACCAGGGATCTCAGTGATATACATCCCTACACACACACACACACACACACACACACACACACACACACACACACACACACACACTCTTTGCTTCTGTTTTTCTTTCCAATAGCTTGTTCCAGAGAAGACCGCTCATATGCTCGACTTACTGGAAAGGAAGATCTTAAGCAGCAAGAAAATAAATGTTGCCTTGAGCCAGAATATAAGTGACACAATCGTCAACTACTTATTAAAAGTGGTGAGACCCCTGGGGCTTAGGGGATGAGGGAAATTGGGAGAACAAAAGAACCTGGCTGCTTCCAAGGGAGTCACTCTTGGCAGGGACTGTATTGGTCAGAGATAGAAGGTACTAAAGGCCTTACATACTTGGCCAGAGGTGTAACTTCCTATTCTTGCTCCTTGGGCTACTGCCAAGATTTGTGAACTGGGTGGATGTGAATGCTTAGTAGAAGGGAGTATTGGTAGGGGGGAGGTGGGGCATTTGATGAGTCAGAGTAAAGACCTGGGATCAATTCATTCAGTCAACATCTATTTAACACCAACTACTGTGCTAAGCACTAGGGGCAAAGACAAAAATGAAAAATTGTCCCTGCCCTTGAGGTTCCTGTTTTCTACTTGGGAGATATAAAATGCAGCAGGGATACAAGGACACCTTGTTTTGAGTACTGACTGGGTCAGGAGAAAGCTGCTTGGATATGTGTCGTCCAAGTTAGACCTGGGATATCCTAGGCTGAGCACCTCAATGATGCCGCTCTCAATGTGCCACTAGAGCTGCCCCATTCCTACCTTAGTGCTGAAACTAGTCGATCTATACGGTCTCTTTTAATTCTACCACCTGTGAATCATCCCCTTGCTGGCCTCTCCACTTGCTGTCCACTCATTCTCTAATTACCTCTCTGTTTGCCTAAGTAACAGTTGCATAGTTCGACTTAGCAATAATAAGAACTTATATAGGGCTTTAAGATTTAGAAAACAATTCCTTCACTCCACAACTCTGTGAGGTGAATAATGCAAGCAATTAGTTTGCCCATTTTACAGATAAGGAAACTGATTCTGAGAGAAGTTAAGTGACTTACTTAGCAGTGGTCACAACCTAATATGCCTTAGAGTTGGGATTTCAATCCAAGTTTCCTGCTTTAGTCCAGGTCTCTCTCCACTATATCTCCACAACATCTCTTTCCACTATAAGCTTATTTATCTGAAGCTGACCCACTTTCCTGTTTTCTTAGTTTTGTTCTTGGATAATTGCCTCCCTGTCTATGAGGTGCCTGACTTCATACCTCCTCGGCACATTCATCGTCACATCTGCATTCTGCTCTCCTCGTGTCCTTCTTGTCAACCCAACCCACTTGTCCCAGGGAATAACCTGAGCAGAGTCCTGCTCTGTGGAGACACTCCTTTTGGAGAACTCATTTCTTTCTGCCGTACAGAGCATTCCCATCGCCTTCCAGTGTGAAGCTAGTGCGAGACTTGGAATTTGGAGAACAGGGAGCAAGTTCCCTAAGTCCAGCGGATCAGTCTGCATAGGAAATGCGTGTCCCTTTTTTTTCCAGAATCTAAATAAGGAGCAGGAGGAAAGCACTGCTGCTGTCCTACTAGCTTTAGAAGCCCACAGCCCCAAAGTGGTTATCAATAATTTTTGGGACCGAATGAAGGAGCAAAGCGTGCCCCCGCCAAATCTTCTTCGGACAATGGGGAAGCTCATCCTTTATGAAGGTAGGGGTGACTGTGAGAGAGAAGAGCATTTGGGGTAGGGGCAGAAGGAAGATGGAGGAATGAATGAGTCCCTCAATCCATCTCATGATTTTTCTAATTCCCTGATGAGCTTGAGTCATTGAGGTCCCCGATAGAGAAAGGCACACCAGAAATCCAGCAGAGAGTTGAAGGAGGGTTGAGAAGACTCAGAATCTTTACAGAAGATAGGGTGTTGGAAGTATTGGCAAGGGGTTGATTGGAGCACCCCCATCCCAACTCAGAGAAGGCAGAAGAGGAAGGACCTACCTGTGATCTTTTTACAGAGTAGTCTGAAATGGGGAATTTTGATGGAGGACATAAGGAAGGAGGAAACGAAAGGCAGTCCAATGTAGTGTATAGAGAGCCAGCCTCAGAACTGGGGACACCGGGTCCAAGTCCTGCCTTGTTACTCACTGGCTTTGTGACATTGAACAAAGTTACTTAATTTCTCAGTGCCCCTGGGACTGTAAGTTTCAGAGGACTTGAGGAGCTGAATTGTTAAGAGTTTGCTATATCCGGAAAATCATAGGTTCAACAGCCACAACAATAAAGGAGGGCTTAGGGAAGGGGGAAGGGAGCCAGGCAAAGCAGAGCAGTCTTACTAGCCAGGAGGGCCATTTTCCATAATTCAGTTCAATTCCTTTCCAAAGCATTAACTGATGATGATAGGATGAGGTGCTTTGAGACAGGCTGGGTCTGAAGCACCTCTGGAGCAGAACAAAGAGACCTCAAGTCCATGGTGGATAGAACTTTCTAGGGATAGTTGGGAGACATCATATTCCCATTTCTGCCTTAAATCCTCTATTAGAGAAGTAGGGGGAGGGGCAGGAAGGTTAACCTAGTCAGTGGTTTATGCTGTCTGGGCTAACCAAATCAGGAAGAAGGCAGCTTAAGACTGACCTGGCTAAGCAGCTAGGCCAGTGCTACAAGTTTCATGGACTGGTGAAGGTAGAGAGTCTGCTTATTGAAGCAAACAAGTTTGGGAGAGTAGCAGAAACTGGAAATGTGTCCCTTGCTCCAATGGAATGATTGGAGTCTAGCCACACCTACCCACTGCAGCTTCCTCGATCCCAGGACCATGGATGGCCCTTTGTGTGGAAGTCTCCAATGGTGGAGCAGCAGCAGGCCACCAGCACTGACTGAGGGACAAATCTCCTCCCACCTCCAAACCTACATATAAGTCTCAGATACCCAGGGATGCCATGGCGAATCATTTCCTATTGATGCCCAAGAGCATGGCGACTTTTATGCCCCAAAGGGACAGATCTCAGGGGATGATAATACCTTATCTTATGTGTACCACCACTGCTGTAATCTCATGTGACCTTCTTGGCAACCCAGTGAGATAGATAAACCAGGTATTTTTACTCCCATCTTGCAAATAGGGAAATTCAAGGCCAAAGAGAAAGGGCTTTCCTATGGTCTGACATATTACTGGGAGAGCTAAGAAATATCATTCAGTCAATCAATATTTATTATTTGTATTAATAAATATTTAATAAATATAATAAATATAAATAAATTACATTTAAATAATATTAAGACTAATATTTAACATCAGTACCATTTAATATTAATATTTAAATAATTATACTTAAAATATATTAAATATTTATTTAGTAGTATTTATTTAGTAGTACCTACTACTTGCCAGGCAACGTGCTAAATGCTGAGGATACAAAAAGAAAAAAGAACAACAACCCTTGCCTTCAAGGAGCTTATAATTTAACTGGGGAAGACAAAGCACTGAAGAAAAGATGAAAATATGGGAGTTGTGGTTTGTGTGTTGTGGTCCATCCTTCGTTCTCTAAGAGGACCATGTTGTCATGACTTGCAGTTGAATTGGACTTGAGTGAAGGAGGGCTGTGCAGAGTCACCAGCCTCTTTTTCTCTTCCAGAACCATCTGGGTCCAGTGGCCAGATGTAGATCAGGATGACTGGAGATGGCCCAGGATGCAGTGGGAGACTTTGGCCTTTTTAACCTAAAGTCTTTTTGAGTTCTCACTTTGAGGGAGGCAATGCCCATTCAGTAGATAGGCGTCTTTAAGAAGTGAGTCAAGGGATGATCCCTTTAATAAAAGAAAAAAATCAAACTGGGAGGGGAAGACCCTCAGGTCAAATGGAGGTTTGGAGTCCATACCTGGTGCCACCTTCTAATCAGAGAGGCAGAGGTGAAGTACCAAGAAGGAGGATATAATAAGGAGCTTCTTGGGGCCAGTGGAGAAGTTGAAAACTCCCATAGTAGTGCAGCCAAGTGAGAAATGATGAGAAAACCAGAACCTCAACTATCCCTAGCTTTCCACCATGAATGGGAAACTAGATCGTTACAGGACCCTAGATCTCAAATGGAAAGGTACCCCAGAGTCTGTCTAGTTCAACTGCCTTATTTTATAGATAAGAAGTTTGAGGCCTAGGAAGGTTAAGTGATTTTTCCGTGGTCATATAGCTAGTAAATGTGTCAGGTGTCAGCTTCTTACCCTGAGATGGAAATACCCCTTTTCATCCTCCTTATATCTAGGTATGGTACCCTACATTGGTGCTACATGGAGCTATATCCTGCCCCTCCTGAGAAAGGCCCAGACTGAAGAAGAAAGACTGGGATTATGTAATGGTGAGGACCTTTGTTAGGACTGAGGGATAAATAGTGGGGGTGGGTAGAAGACAAGACAGGAGAGAAGATGGAGGGAAGAGCATGGAGGTCGTAGCATCGGCCTTGCAGCCTCTCAGCTCTTGCAGTGTGAGAAGCCAAGCCTAGTGCTTGGCAGGATCCTAGGAGCTTGGAACCACACCAATTTATAGATATGATGGGGGTATATCTAGAAACTGGAATAGAGCTAGTGTCCCTATGGAGACCCTATGGAGGAGTGGGGCCATGAAGAGTATGTGATTCACTCTTAGCACAGTGAAGGCTAGGGAACTGGTGTGGGTTCAGTGTCAGCTCTGATTTCCCATGTAGTGATCAGCGGATTGGCCGTTAATGCCCGAAAGCACAATTCTCTGGGCAATGTTGGTGAGGGAGCCATGGATATCACAAAAGAGATGTTGTCTTATAAGGCTTCCTTAACACTCTGACTGCTTTTACTTGCTGGCCCCTGAAGACCGAGAGCAAGGTAGGGACAGGAATTGACTGATATAATGGATGGGGCTTGGGAGCACAAAGTCGAGCACCTATGAGGCAGCTGTCTATGCCAAAGGTGGGGTGGGGTGGCATAGCTTCCTGTTAGCAAATTGAATAAACTCTTCCTTTGTCAAGACACTCAGCTAAGTTTCCAGGTGATGGCAATGGCTCCTTCCCAACCCTTTCCTTTCCTTTTCAAAGGGCACCAAAAGGATAAGTGCCCTTCTTCTCCCCTTTCCCCCTACCCTTATCTCATCCCCATTGTTGGTCAGACTCACTGAGTGTCATTCCAGGGAGTCATCAGTCAGGAGACAACCAAAATGGTGCTTCTTAAAAAAAACCCAGTACATTTTAGGGGTATACAGTATTATCTATTACTTGCCAACAACCTAGAGAAACCCTAGAAGTGGTTATCTATCCACAAGTTATGGGGCAAATTCTTTTTGCCTTATGGGGGAGCCACTGTACCCTCCTAAAGCCTCTCAGCTAAGGTGCTAATATTATTTCCCTGGGGACAGGTGGCTGAAGAAACCTTGAACACATTGGGAGACCTCTTCTTTCTCTTAAAACCAACAAAGCTGAACTGTCAATTATGCTGGTTAATCAGTCATGTTCTGATGATGAGCAAAGCAGATGTGAAGCCCTTCTACATTATTCAGGTGAATATGGGTGTCTCTGAAAAGCACACATCCTAGGGTTCTCTGCCGAAGATCTAGGGATGCTCTGGAGCTAAGACCACCATATGAGTAGTTAGGATAATCTCTGACATAATGTGTTTTCAAACGATTTGGAAAGTTATAAAAGAAAAGATCATTCTGCAATTATTGGAAATTATAACATTGGACCAGTGTTTTCTAACCCTCAACCTTTTAGTGATCCTTAGCAAGTTTCTACAGGATACCCAAATATGGTCCCTACTTTGGCACTTAGAAGTAGTGTACTGTTGTGGAAATCACAGTGGATTTGGAGTGAGAAGTCTTGCATTCAGATTCTGCTTCTGCAACTTATTGCTTGTGTGACTTTGGATAATTCCTTTAATTGCTTTGGTCCTAAAATGGACTGGATGATCTCTTAAGCTTTCCCCTAGATCTATCATACTTCTCTCAAAGTTGATCCTCCCTGAGCCAGCAGAGAATTTCAATACGTTTACTTTTTTAATGAATAAGCACTGTATTAGTTCAACCAATAATCAGAGAGATGTGACTCTGGGTCCATTTTGGAATTGTGATTAACCAATAAAACCATATGACTACTGTATGCTCTAATATCAAATCAATTTATTAAGCACTTACTAAGTGACAGGCATGGGGCATCTAAGTGGCATGGTGGCTAAAGTGGTGGGCCAAGAGTTAGGAAGATCTGAATTCAAAGGCAGCTTCAGACACTTACTAGCTGTATGACCTTGAGCAAGTCAATTAACCCTGTTTGCCTCAGTTTCCTCTGTCAAATGAGCTAAAGAAGGAAATGGCAAACCACTCCAGTATCTTTGCCAAGAAAACCCTAAATAGGGTCTTGAAGAATTGGACATGACTGAAAAAAGACTAAACAACAACAATAAAAGTGCCAGGCACTGTGCTAGCTATACTAAGGACCAGGGATACAGAGAAAGATAAAAAATAAAATGAAATGAATCCAAAAAAAACCACACCAAACCCAGTGCCTGTTGCTCTCAGGAATTCATAGTCTGATGTAGGAGACAACACGCAAACTACCATATGCAAAAAGATATATGCAGAATGAATTGAGGATAGTCTCGGGGGAAGGCAGTGAGGTTATAGAGGACTGGCAGAGGCTTCTTGCAGACGGTTGGACTTCAGGTGAGTCCTGCAGGAAGCCAGAGAATCTAGAAGGTGGAGATGAAGAGAGAGAGAGAAGAGCAGAGAGGCAGAAGATGGAGTGTTGTGCATGAGGAACAGTAAGGAAGCCAATGTCGGAGAATGTGAAAGAGATTGAGGTGTAAAAAGACTGGAAAGGTATGAAGGGTCCAAGTTAAGAAGGACTTTAAAAGCCAAACAAACTTCTGCTCCAACCAGCAGGCTATTACACTAACCCACACGAGAGGTGATGAGGGCCTGCTCCACGGTGGAGACAGTGTTAGAAGAGAGAAAGGGAAGTATAGGAGAGATGTTACAAAAAGTAGAAATGACACTTCTTTTTTTTAAATGCAATTTGTAAACATTTTTATTTAAAGTTTTGAGTTCCAAATTCTATTCCTCATTCCCCTCCCCCTTCCCTGAGAAGGTAAGCAACTAGATATAGGTTATAGACATGCAATTATGTAAAATGTAGAAATGACGTTTCTGAAAGGGCCTCGTGAATGCTGTTGCTTCATCCTTTTAGCTTAAGGCTTTGTTCCCTAAAAAGTGACAATCTCCTTTGGGAGGAATAATACGTTATCTGGGAGGAACAATACTTTATGAGTCATTTTTCCCTACCTCTAAGTGAAGAATCTGAGAGGAAGTTCTGCTAGAAGAATCATAAAGTCGTAGATCTAGAGTATGAAGGGACCTCAGAGGTCATCTAGTCCTATATTTTATTTTTATTTTACAGATGAAGAAACTGAGAATGTGAGTGGCTACAAATGTGTGCAGGAGAGATTGAATAGAAAGAACCTGGGGAGAGAAAGAGAGACATAGAAAGCAGAAAGGGTGCACAAAGAAAGGGAGACAGTATCTTCTCTCCCTCAGCAGGTTTTGCCCATTTCTCATACCTGTTAGATTTCAAGTTCTGGGAGCATAGGGACCGTATCTTAGTTGTTTTCTAGCATGATTACTTGATGACAAATTTAATTAAAGCAAACTGAATAATTTTTACTGCAGGGAGATGCAAAGAAAATTTGCAACTCTAATCCCTTTGTCAAGGACTTTATAGCCTACTTGAGTATATAGGACATGAGAAATAGTTAAGAATACATATAAGAAAAACACAAAAAGCCATTAAATCACCCTATATTTATCCAGGAAGCACTTTCACACACACGATATGTTTAAACACAACAACTCTATGAGGTTGATGAGTGATGGATTTTCATCCCTCTTTTATTAATGAGTGACTGAACTAACTAGGTAGTACAGTGGATAGGATGCTGGGCCTTGAGTCAGGAAGACTCATCTTCCTGAGTTCAAATCTAGCCTCAGACACTTATTAGCTGTGTCGTCTTGGACAACTCACTTAACACTGTTTGCCACCGTGTAAAATGAGCTGGAGGAGGAAATGGCAAACTTTTTCAGTATCTTTGCCAAGAAAACCCCAGAGTCACATCTCTCTGATTATTGGTTGACCTAATACAGTGCTTATTCATTAGACAAGTAAACATACTGAAATTCTCTACTGGCTCGAGGAGGATCAACTCTAAGAGAAGTATCACAACTTTAAGAGAAGGATCACAGAGTCAGACAGGCTGAACAATAACAACCGAGGTAGACTGATTTCACCATGAAACAACTAGTTCTTCAGGGTCTTCTGATTTCCAGTCCAACGTTCTTTGTGCCCCCTCCATACTCTGTTGTTCTCTTTTTAGTGAAGATGGCCCCACTGACAGATGTGCTTTGAGATGTTTTCTGGGTGGTTATACCCATTACCCAAATTCCCTTGGGGAATACCTTTGGAAGTATTCATATTTGGGGAACACATATTTGTGAGGTGGTTATTGGGGCGCAGCACACAGGCTAGATGTGAAATTTTACTTCGTGAGGAACTAGCTGTTTCATATGAGGAAAGGACCTATGACCTTAACCACTTAAACTCAATATTCTTACCAACTGTTCTATTTTGATTATGACCGGTTTTATTTGGAAATAGGCCTATCAGAGACATATATATATATATATATATACACACACACACACACACACACACACACACACACACATATATAATATACTTATACACATATATATATGTATGTGTGTATGTATAAATATATCAAATTAAGGACCATTCAAAAGCAAATCCTATATTAACATACTTTGAAAGAAGGCTATAGATAATATAAATGTGTGGTTATTTGCCTCTTTTTAGGGTACAGAGGAACAAAAAGAGGAGGGTATTTGTGAAACTTTTAGGGCCTTTGAGAATTTGGCTTTAATCATAGCTTGGTGTCACTGTAGGGTAAAGAACCCCGGAGAGGTCTTGACATTCAGCTCTATTTATGTAGCTATGTGACTCAGGCAAATCATTTCCCCTCTCTGGGCCCCATTTTTCTCTTCTGTAAAGGGGAGACAAGAATACTTGTTCTACTTCCTTCAGAAGATTTAGTAAAATACTTTGCAAATCCTCAAGTGATGTGTAAGTGTGAGCTATCAGCACCGGAAAGAAAGGCAAAGAAAGACAGTAGGATTAGTCCCTAAGGGGAAGCCCAGCTGTGGGTATGAATTTGTTTATAACTGCCTGTCTGAAGTCAGCATTCACTGTTTTCATGGTTTTGAATGACCCTGAATGTTTTTCCCTTTTGGGCACTCACATTAAGTTAATTGGAAGATTTGTGGTACGTCTGAGTAGGTTCAGACTGGAAAAGCTTTTGGGAGGAATTGAATGGAACAGGTGTTGTCTTCCTTTTAGATACTGCATGTTACCTACCTAGGATCTGGAGTATGACAATATTTAGAGAGAAAATGGGAGGTAGTGCTGAGGTTTAGAGACTTAGGGGTGCTGAGACCTCAAACTCATGATACGTGGGTCCTGCCTGAATGAATTCAACCCAAGTCTTCTTTCAGGCAAAGACAAGGTTCATTAAAGATCAGCCATATTAGCCAGACTCTTAAGGAGTCTAAGCATTTGTATCATTAATGCAAGCAGGCCAGATCTTAAGAATCTGAGCACCTGAATGGATGTCAGATGGACCTTATATACAGAAAGACTGTGGGAGGGATGTGGGAGTGGCTAAGTAGTCTAGGGTGACTGGAGAAGGGGTTTAAGGAGGATCTGGATAGGAGTGACTAGTAAACTGGGGTGACTGTGAGGTAAGAGAACACCTGGGACCTGGATCATGGGGCCAAGGGAAAATGGAGCCCAGATAGGATTAAGGATAGGAGGATTACAGCCTCAGGCAAACACCAGAGATTTGGCCATTTGGGAAACTCCAGGGCTTTTCCTTTTTTGGGTCCAGATCCTGAAGATATGGTCTTTTCCTTTTAGGGGTTCAGATCCCTTTCCCATCAGTAGGAGTGATTTCTTACCTCCATTCCTTTCCACCAGAAAACCATTTATGAAGCACCTACTGTGTATGGGTCACTACACTAGGTACCTGAGGAGCTAAAAAGTTTTTCTTAAGATCTTTTCCATGCTGCCGTGGAGTTTATAATCTAGTAAGGGACACCAGAGTACTCAAGACTTGAAAGATCACTTAGTACCACCCATACTTGAACAAGTATTTCTCAGCAAGTGGTCATCTAGTCTTTGCTTGAAAGCCTGAGGGGAAACCACTTGACCTATGCCAGCTCATTCCATTTTTGGAATATTCCAAAATCTTAAATTGATGCAATCTTCCGGCAATCCTCAATCTGCAATATAATCATACTAAATGGCACGTGACGAACAGATTATTTATTTATTTATTTACTTGGTGGTTTTTTTTTTTTCGGCAGTAGGGGTTAAGTGACTTGCCTAGGGTCACACAGCTAGTAAATGTTATGTGTCTGAGGCCGGATGTGAACTCAGGTCCTCCTGAATCCAGGGCCAGTGCTCTATCCACTGCGCCACCTAGTTGCCCCTAGACAAATAGATTATTAAGGGACAAAGTGTTAAATGAAGTCAGAGCGGGAAGTTACTGGTCTGAGATTTAGAGTTCTGACCCTACTCTTCCATATAGTGTCTTTCCCGGCTCCTGGAAGCTGTTGCTGCCGGTGAGTGTGGGAGTGTGAATCTAGCATCGAAACTGGACGACCTCGTAGTGCTATTGTCTTCACAGGTGAGCTCTGTGGGAATCAAGGAATCTGGGCCCCTTGGGTCTCTGTGATCCCCACCTAGCCTATGCCAGGCCTTTTGTGTCATTCACCACAATTTTTATGGTCCTTAGGCCTACCTGACTAGGCAAATGCATGAACCCTGTGGAGCAGGACTGGAATCCTTCCCCAAGCTAGGTTGGACAAATTCCCATGAGGCCAGACCAGGCAGAATTTTCAGTGGTGGAAGGGCATTGTTGCTTTTTTCTAGCACTGGAAAAAAAATACAGAAAGTCCATGTCATCCCACAGGAAAATGTTCAATTTTCCTAGGGGGGGAAGGGGGAAGAGGATATTTTACTCACAATGTGGTGGGGAGGAAAATGATTATATTTTCCCCTTTATTCAATTCACTCAATTCAGTGAACTCAATTAAGCACCTACTTGCCAGCCATGGTGCTAGGTGATAGGGAACAATTCCTTCAGGGTGAAAACAATACTGGCCTTCTATGTTCAGCACTGGAAGTCTAGGGAGTCTTCTGGGATGCAGCTTTCTGTTTTCCCTATGACTGTCCCCTGTTTCTTCTGCTCTTTGCTTTAATTCTCCTCTCAATGCGAAGAATAATAGCTTCTTACAAAACTCCTCTAAGGTGGCTTATCCCATTTTGTAGATTAGGAAAATCAGGCCAAGAAAAGTGAAGAGATTTGCCTACACTTACATAGCTCATTTGTGGGAGAGCGAGGGGTGTAACCCAAGTCCCTGACTCCAACTTCAGTGCTCTTTCTATGAAAGTGGGTTGCTTCCCATGACAAGGGTCTCCTATGGGTTCTTGTTTCTCCCTCTAAACAATTTCTCTTCTTACAGATGATTTGGAAAGTTATCAATTCAGATTCACATACACTTCAGAATCACAATATGGCCTTGAAGTCCTTCCATATTATGAGTAAGAACACAGGGGCCCTTGGCCTGAGCTAATCAGTGAGGAGGGAGGGGGTTATGTGGGCCACCTTCATTTCTGCCTAGCCTGGAGACTGCCAAGGCAAGGAGGACTATATTTGCCCCAGAACCAGCCCTTTATCTTCTATGGAAAGTGGGGTTGGGGTACAGTATTTCTCTTCTTATGGATAACTTGCCCAAATCTGAGGCTCAGAGTAATCTCTATCTCTACCTCTATATATCTCTATCTCTATCTCCATATCTATATATCAGCTCTGCATGGTATGAATTCAAAGTGTCTAAAAATACCCCTTCCTCTGGTCCCTATAATCTTCTTGCAGAGGTGATCTAAGCCCAGAGAGGCAGAGATATAATTCTAGTAATGACAAAGATAAAAGACTTATTTGTCATAATTAGGCAATGGTGATTGGGAAGAAAATGGGGGTAAGGGTGAGTTCTAAGCCCCATCAATGATCCTGTCTTTTCTGCAACAAGTTAGCTTTTGGTTAACAATCAGAGGCAATATGATATTATAGAAGGAGTTGAGAATTCAAAATCAGAAAACTTGGGTTCAGATCCCAGTTTGTTTGTGTATTTTCTGTGTGACTTTGAAGAAATCGCCTTGCTTTTCTGGGCCTCAGTTTTTCCATTTATAAAATGAGGGGCCTGGACCAGATGACTTCTAGATTCCTTCTCATTTGTCCCCTTCCCACATGTACTTCTTCCACTCCCTTGAATTCTCTTCCCCTGGCAGCACGGCTATGCCACCAAGAGATGGTCAAATTGTTCCTGAAGAGCATGAACTGCAGGGACATAACCGAGGTGATAGTAACACTCCACATCTTCAGAGACGTATTCCAGGAAGGTGAGTGTATTCCGAACCTGGTTATTGTTGACGAGAGGGAATGGGAAGGCCTGGGTCTAGCAGAGTTTCTTCTTTTCAGAAGCAACGTGGTAGAGTGAGAGAAGCAACATGGTATAGTCGACTTGGAGCTCTAGTCCCAGCTGTGAGAGCTCGGGCAAGTCATTCATATCTGAACCTCAGTTTCCTTGTCTGTACAATGGGGATGATAATACTTGCCCTATCTACCTCATAGGGTGGTAAGATTTAAATAACATAAGAAAACAGATTGTAAAGTTACATACCAATATAAGTTATTATTATTATTCATCAAAAACTGGGTGGGTATTAGATGCCCTAGGGAAGATGCAGCTGTTTAACTTACAAGGAATAAAAATAGACCCACAAGTTCTATCAGAGCATCTTGCAAGTGGCAGAAGAAGAGGAGAGTAGTATGGTGGTCAGTGACTCAATGTAGAAGAGCTATTTGTTGACTAATAATGCTAGTAATCTGCTGCCTTCTTGAACATAAATACAGAGAATCTCCCAAGACTTGTCACAAATGATACTAACAGATGGAACTTAGGAAGGGTCAAAATTGCAGAATCTTGGGCATGCAGCTGAAGACTTTGGGGGCACATGAATTAGACAGTTTTACCCATTGAAGGAAAGGAACTCAGAAAAGTAGATTTGAGAAATGAAGGGTTGGTTGAGAAGATGCTGTATGAGAATGGGACATGGATTTATGGATCACTATTCAAAATACAGGACACCTCCTAGGACAGGGATGGAGTACATCTAATAAGAACCGATAGCAATATATTTGCCTGGAGTCTTGCAAATCTAATGAAAAGAAATTTAAGCTAACAACAAGGGGTGTGTGTGTGTGTGTGTGTGCATGTGTGTGTCTATGTGTCTGTGTGTGTATGTGTTAGAAAAGTTCCTATGTATGTTGGCAAACAAAATAATTGGCTACAAAGTAGGAAGAATGGCAGTTGAAATCCCTAGAAGTCAACAGGAAAAAAAATTTAGAAAGAATTAATAACAAAACTCATGACTTCAGTGTCTATATATAAATGTACAGATATGGCTAGCAAGCAAGATTAGTAAGAAATCCTAATGCAAGGACACAAATTTGGCCTTTTAGTTAGTTAAATGATATCTATGACTGGATTGTTGTTTGTCCTTCATCCTGGAAGAGGACTATGACATCAGGAAGGAGATGCCATGGCTCACAAGTGAATTTGACATCAGGAAGGAGATGTCATGGTTTGCAAGTGAATTGGATTTAAGTGAGGCAGGGCTGTGCAAAGTCACCAGCCTCACTCTCTTCTCCAAAACCATCTGGATCCAATGGCAAGATATAGATCAGGATGACTGGAGATGGCCTCAGATGCAGTGGGAGGGCTTAGCCTTTTTCAGCTAAGGTCTTTCCCAGGTCTCAGTTAGTCTCAGGCAACACCCATTATTGATTAAGGCTAGGCAGAAATGAGGCAAAGAATGACCTCTTTTACCTACTTGAAAAAATAAAATCAATCTGGGAGAGATTTCCAGTCAAAACAGAAATAATTTCTATTTACATGCACTCTGAACCATCAGAATCCAAACAATGACCAAATGAGTCTTGGGCTGGGACCTACTGTTAGCCAATGATAGCCAGAATGAATTGGGTTTAAGACATGATCCATAAAAAAGAAATCTAGCCCATAAACCCCAAGACATCTTGCTAGGTTTTAATAATCAAAATTTATATTCCTTTGGGCAGAACACCTTCCTATTAAGAGGAAGAGGAGGGAGAGGAGGGAAAGAAGGAAAGGAAGGAAGGAAGGAAGGAAGGAAGGAAGGAAGGAAGGAAGGAAGGAAGGAAGTTAGGAAGGAAGAAAGGAAGTTAGGAAGGAAGGAAGGAAGGAAGGAAAGAAGGGAGGGAGGAAGGAAAGAAGGGAGGGAGGGAGGGAAGAAGAAAGGAGCTGCATTGCCCAACTGGAACTGGCCAACTGGGTCCTCAGTGGGGCAGCTACTACTATTCACAGGTTATTGTTTTCTTTGTTCTCAAAGGGGACCATGACATCAGGAAGGAGATGTTGTGACTCGCAAGTGAATTGGATTTAAGTGAGGCAGGACTGTGCAAAGTCACCAGCCTCACTCTCCTCCATAGCCATCTGGGTCCAGGGGCAAGATATAGATTAAGACAATTGGAGATGGCCCCCCTATGACTGGAATATAGCTATGAAAGGATATACCTTATTAAAAAAAAATAAGGCAGGTAAAAAGGAACAGGCAGCATTGATTATTAAGACAATAAGTTCATATGAAGAAATCCAGGACCCAGAATCAGGAAACATAGGGAAGAGCATTTGGGTGAAGATCAATGGAGGAGGAACTGGAAGCTTTATTGTCAACAGAGTATGTGTATAGAGGACTAGCTAGACATAAAGAGGAAGTAGAGTTATTTGAGAAGCAGGATCATAAGTTTGGCACAGAAGCATGTGGAATGATTTTTTTAAACTTATTGAAAATATTCTTCAAAAGGTGGAGGAAACAATGGAAAATTAGGTTCTGGATCCAGTTCTCACCAACTGAGCACTGGTTTCTCAGTCAATCAAACAGTTGGTAAGCATTTATTAAGTTCTTTATGTGCCAGGTATTGTGGCAAAAGACAGTCCCTGTCTTCAAGGAGCTCATGATCTAATGTGGGGGGCAGCAAGCAGATAAATATGTACAAACAAGTTATATAAAAGACAAATAGGAAATAATTAACAGAGGGAATGCTCTAGAATTAAAAGGTATTGGGAAGCTGGACCTTAAAGGATGTCAGGCAAATCAGGAGACAGAGATGAGGAAGGAGAGCATTCCAGGCATAGGGGACAGCCAGAGAAAATCCCTGGACCCATGAGATGGAGTGTCTTGTTGGGATTGGAGAGTGTTTTGGAGCAGAGGGGGGAACGTAAGGTTGAAGAAGGATACTAGAAAAGTAGAGGAGAACTAGATTATGAAGGACTTTGAATGCCAAATAGAGTTTGATCCTAGAGATGATAGGGCGTTACCTGGGTTTATTGGTTGATGGGGTGAAAATGATGAAAACCTTTTGGGGAAGTGACCATTCTATCTTAGAATTTGTGACAGATGAGAGAACAGGAGGGTATAGGTTGATATTCTGCCTAGATTTTTGAGACAGCGTGTTTTTAAGAGTTGAGATGAATGATAGCAACATCAGATGGACTAAAATTCTATAGAAAAAGCAAACTCAGGAGATATGGGAAACTTATGAAATTCTAAAGATTTAAAAAAATTCCATTAAGAAGGAAGAAAGGGAGTTGTCTAAAGAAACACACAACAGATACAGTGTCCCAAAAATTTTAGTTTTGTTTTGAGTTATTGAAACTTATTGTGTGCGTGTCTATGTTCATACTAAAAATGGAAAAATTGAGAAGTAGGAGGAAGAATACAAAAGCATATGAAAATCTTCTCTTTTGCTGGATTGTCATCTGTCTATATATGCTGTTTCTTAACTGTAGGTGTGATTGAAAGTGTAGGTTGACACCCTTTTGACTCTCTCTACCCCCTTTCTCTTGGTGATCTTAGCTTCCAGGGGTTCAATTATCATCCCTATGCAGATGACTCCCAAATATATGTCAATATAAACACATATGTCTGAATTTCTCTGAAATCTAATCCCAGAATACCAACCGGACATCTCTACCTAAATGTCTCATAGGCTTTTACACGTCCAAAATAGAACAGCTTCTTATCTTCTCCCTCCTCCTCCTCCTCCTCCTCCCCCAAACTTATTTCTGTTCATTCTTCCTTTCTGCAACCTCAGAGTCATTCTTGAGCATACCTCTTCTTCAACCCTCATAGCTGATCTTTTGCTGAGTCTTGTTAGTTTGATTACACATCTGCCTCTTTTTTTCCCCCACTCACTCTACTTTGTCTCCTTACAACTAATCATAAGAACAATTGTAATAACATCTTAATTGGTCTCTACTTCTGGACTGTCCCCTCTCTGATCCTTCCTCTGTGCTGCTGCCCAAATCATTTTCTTAAATCATTGATTTGATGATGTTACTCACCTTCTCTAAAATCTCCAGGGCTCCCAATTGGCTCTAGTATACACTATAAATTCTTCAATTTGGCATTTTCCCAATATGGCTCCAGTTTGACCAAAAAGTTTTAGGTGAATGTCCTAGAACAAAAGTCTCTTACAGTAGTCACTTAATTTTCATGTGGAACTACTGGGTTCTATCCTTGACCACAACCCTTAAGGATGGAAAGTGGCTCCTCTCTATGATCAATATTTTAATACCTTCTAAATAAAAAAGAGGGTAGTTCCCTGGGATGGAAAAGAGAGCACTTTTCCTAGGTGGGTCACAAGCTACTTGCTTCAGGGGATGGGAAAGGCAATAATTTTATTGAGAAAAAGTACTCTTTGTTCAAAGTGTGGTTACTAGATTTCCATTTCCCAGACCTTAGCCTTTGTTCTTGGCATTCTATACCCTTTCCTAAAGGGAAGAGTCTAGAAAGGATTGTAGGTTGGAGAAAATATCATTTCTTCGGATTTTCAGTTGAAGGAGGTTTTTAGTATGCACAAAAAGTGCTGCTATGAATATTTTGGTACATATGAGACTTTATTTTGTCTTTGACTTCATTTTGATACATGGCTCTAACACATGATCTACACATAAAACCAATTTACCTTTATTTATGTTTAATAGGGCAGACATTACCCTAAAAAGATGCATGCTCATCAGTGTAGGTAATCAAAGTGTATTGACTATACGTCAGTACAAATATCAGCTTTCTTAGGAACAAATCACCATGTCTTGTACCTGCGCTCACAACAAGATTCCTTCTTTGCCTAGAAAGTTATGTGTCTTCCTCCAAGGTGACATTCTGGTAAGTCTTTGTCAATCAGCACTATACAGATATTTGAATTTCTGAGTGCGGAAATGTCTGTCCCAGGTGTGACAGAAGAGCAGGCTGAAGGCTGCTGAAGACCTCCAGTGGGTTTTTATTATTCTGGCTAAGGATGTTTAAATGTTCCATCTAAATCCTGATTGGTGATCCTTCCTCATTTCTTATAGCACAATAGTATTCCATTACATTGAGATACCATCATTTGTTTAGCCTCTACCTAATTGATAGGTACCCCTTCAGTTGCCAATTCTTTGCCACTACAAAAAGAGCTGCCATAAATATTTTTGTACATATGTGTCCTTTTCACTTTCTTTGATCTCTTTGGGATGTAAATGTAGTGGGGCAGTTGGGTTAAAGACTGTGCAGTTTAATAGTGTTTTTTAGGTATAGTTTCAAATTGCTTTCTAGAATTATAGAACCAGTGTACAGCTCCACCAGCAGTTTATTAACGTACCTGTTTTCTCACAGCTCATACAGCATTTGTCACTTTCCTTTTTTGTCAGCTTTGCCAATCTGATGGGTGTGAAGTGGTACCTCAGAGTTGTTTTAATTTGCATTTATCTAATTATTAATGATGGAAGCATTTTTAATATAGCTATTGGTAGCCTGGATTTCTTCCCCTGAAGATGTTTATTCATATTCTTTGACCATTTGTCAATTGGGAAATGTCTCTTATCTGCATATGTGATCAGTTCTCTATACATGTTGGAAATGATAACTTTATCAGAGAATCATGACAAAGATTTTTTTCCCTGTTTACTTGCTTCTCTTATAATTTTAACTGAACTGGTTTTATGCAAAAACATTTAATTTTATGTAACCAAAATTCTCCAATTTTATTTCCTACGATTCCCCCTTTAGTTCTTATTTGGTCATGGACTCTTCACCTATCCATAGATCTGACGTAATTTCTTCCACACTTCTCTAATTTGTTTACAGCATCACTCTTTATGTTTAAATCATGCACCTATTTGGAACTTCTCTTGGTATACGATGTGAAATGCTGGTCTATACCTTGTTTCCACCAGACTCCTTTCCAGTTTCTCCAATCTATATTTTTTCAAATAGTGAATTCTTGCCCCAAACTGGGATCTTTGGGCTTATCAAACATTAGGCTACTGTGCTCATTTGCCTCTGTATGTTGTGTGCCTAATCTATCCCACTAATCAACATCTCTGTTTCCTACTCAAGACCCCGTTGTTTTGGTGATTTCAGCTTTGTAGTATAGTTTGAGATCTGGACCTGACCCCCTTCCTTCTCACAGGAGGGAGTCCCTTTGGCAATGGGGAACCACTGAAAGTTTTTGAGTCTCAGGAGTGATATGATTAATGTCATTATAGAAGTAAAGGATATAGAGCTACCTTGGGCTTTAGAAATGATGTTGTCTAACTCCCTAATCTTAGAGATGGGGAAACTGAGACCCAAAGTGACTTGCTCAATGTTATATAGCTAGCATTTACATACATGAATGTACACATACATGTACACATATATAAATATCTATAATCTTATATATTTAAATGCTGGCTATAATTATATAGGTAGTAAGTAGCAGACAATGCTACTTGGACAATGGAAGAAGGGAGGAAATTGACTACTACCTTGCCTCTGATCTTTCCTTTAGTGCCCCAGACCATGGAACTAAAGGCTGAAGTGATGGAGACCATTATAAATTTAATTAAGGAGAACTCCAAATCAGTGAGTATGGAAGCAGTGAACAGGGCAGCTACTTTCTTTAGATTCTGAGAGAGTATCAAAGGGAGGATTCAGGGGTGGTGGTGGAGGGGAGAGAGGAATCTGTCAGCTTTGGGGAGAATGTTGGGGAAGTCAACCTTAGCTGCAGGGTCCTGCTCTTAGTTCGTATTTGTCCATTTCCCACCATCTGAAGCAGGTTCAAGAAGTTATTCTCCAAAGTGGGAGGAAGATGATGACTGGAGAATCGGTTAACAAACAAATTTACTGAGTATCTACTATATTCAAAGCATTGTGCTGGGTGCTGTATAATATACAGGAGCTAACAGTCTAATTGGAACAATAAGACCTGCACTCATGAAAAGATAAGAATTCAAGAACAATCCATAGATATCACAGTAGTATAGAGGAGATCACTTGGGGCTTGCTTGGATGATTAGGAAAGAATTTGCTCCTTTGATCATTCCCTCTGTGTCTCCCATCAGTCCCTCGCTATACACTGGGTCATTCCCTGATGCCTACAAACACTCTCATATCTCTTTGTCCTTAATAAAACCTTTGCCTGAGCCTGCAAACCCTTCAAGCTATCATCATCATCATCATCATCATCATCTCTCCCTGTGTCTCTGTCTCTCTCTTTCCTTTAATAGTCAACTTCTTAGAAAAAACTGACTACACTCATTGCCTCCTACCCAGTTCTTGATGCCTTACTATATTGTAGCCCCACAACTGGACTGAAACTGTTCTGTCCAAGGTTACCATTGATCTTTTAATTGTTAAATCCAATCATATTTTCTCAGTTCTTATTATTCTTAACCTCTCTGCAGCTTTTGAAATTGTAAGCTACCCCTTGCTTCTGGAAATCCATCCCTTTAATATGACCAGAATAGATGACTCATTATCTTCCCTTTTAAACCTTTTTCTTCTCTAGACTTCTCTATACCTATTGAGGGGACCACCATCCTCTGAGTCACTGAGGTCCGCAACTTCAGAGCCATCACTGATTCTTCACACTCTTTCACCACTGCCTGTCTCCACCACCACATCCAATCTGTTGCCAAGTCTTGTTAATTTTATATCTACAACATTTCTAATCTCTGTCTCCTCTTCACTCACAGAGCCACCATCCCTTATCACTACTCACCTGGACTATCGTGTCGTTGTTGTTTAGTCATTAAGTCATGTCCGACTCTTCATGACCTCATGGACCCCAAGGTTTTCTTGGCAAAGACACTGGGGTAGTTTGCCATTTCCTTCCCCAGTGGATTAAGGCAAACAGCAGTTAAGTGATTTGCCCAGGATCACACAACTTCTGTTGTTGTTTAGGTAGTTAGATGGTGCAGTGGATAGAATGCTGGGCCTGGAGTCAGAGAGATCTGAGTTCAAATCTTGCCCCAGACACTTACTAGCTGTGTGACCCTGGGCAAGTCACTTAGCCTTGTTTGCTTCAGTTTCCTCATCTGTAAAATGATCTGGAGAAGGAAATGGCTCTTTGCCAAGAAAACTCCAAATGGGGTCATGAAGAGTTGGACGTGGTTTAAATGACTGAACAATGACAACATTGCTTTTGGATAAAGCACAAACTCCATTATTTGGCATTAAAATCCCATCACAATCTGGGTCTTTACTTTTGTAGTTACTTCTCATTACTCTCTGTCGTGCTTTCTAAATTACAGCCTAAGAGAAATCATCTGAACTCCAAATTTCATCTCCTGCTTCTTTGCTTTAGTATACCATGCTTCAAGTCTCCACTCAGGTGCCTCTGTCTATGCCCTCAATATGCTCTCTCTCTCTCTCTCTTTCTCTCTCTCTGTGTCTCTCTTCTCTCTCTTCTCTCTCTGTTTCTCTTCTCTCTCTCTCTCTCTCTCTCTCTCTCTCTCTCTCTCTCTCTCTCTCTCTCTGTCTCTCTCTCTCTGTCTCTGTCTCTGTCTCTCTCTCTCTCTCAAAATTATCCCGTGTTCACTTATCTGTTTACATGTTGCATTCCTCAGGATTATGGGAGCCCTTGAGGACAGGGAATTTTTCATTCTTCATCTTTATATGCCCAGAACTCAGAATTTAATTGAAAGAGGAGGATAGATTTGAATTAGGCTTTGAAGAATAAGGTATAATTTTGACAACAGGATTTGGAAGGGGAAGTGGGTTGGACAGCTAATGGAAATTCTAGGAATAGTAGGAACAAAAGCACAGAGAGAGGAGTACAGAAGCATGTTTGGAGGGCACTAATAGGCCATTTTGGCTAGAGTTGGGTAGGTGTAGGTGGGTGGGAAGGTAGGAAAGGTAAGTTGTAATCAAAATTGAGGAGGCCTTGGAATAGTATTAGGTTAAGGAATTTGGCCATTATGCCAAAGAACTTATCTTTAGCTTTCCATTAAAGTTGTGAATGGATGTCTTTTTTGGACCCTGATTCTTCCCTTTGATTCCCCCACCCCCACCCCCAGCCCCCATACTCATAGTCATGGAGATAATGAGGAGAAGAGTTATTTACAAGAGGAGGGTTTGTAGGGGGGCCAGGCTTAGTGCTTGGGTATTCCTAGATGGCTAGTGCAAGAAGGGATGGCTGTAGGCCTCCGGATAGTGATCAGAAGGAGCTAGGACCATTGGCTAAGCAAGGTTGAAAACATATTGGACTAGGATTGAGGAGATTTGGGTTCTGATCCCAGCTTTGATACTAACACATCATTTACTATTTGGAAAGTCACCTTATCCCTCTGACCCTCAGTTTTCTCATCTTTAAAATCTTCAAAGGTACCTCACAGTTTGAATGTTCCTTAAGTATATGTTATGCCACTTATGTAACAGGTACGCTTGCCTCTACTACAATTTATTGAAAAACTAGGTGCCTATAACTACTTCACCTTGCAACAAGGAGATGTGGTCATTAACCATCTCATCAAACTCAGTGAGATTGGATCCATAGTGAGTAGGGGAAGGGTGAAGGCTGGGCTGTAAGGGGGCCACATAGAGAGAAAAGGGTTAGAGTAGGGCTTGCAAAAGGGCTATAAAAAGGGTAGGATTGGGAACATAAGGGATGAGAGGGAGGGGAGGGGAGGCTAGAATAAGAGTCAGGCTCAGATTATGGGGTACAGCCTAAAATGCCTTCTATAGCCTCTGGGCTTGGATTTTGACAGAAGGAGGGTGGAGCTACTGACCCAGGAGGCTTAGATAGGGTTGGGCTGACTTTTCTTTTTTCTCATTTCCTTCAGAGTGATGAGGAAACCCAGGAATTGTCAGTCAGTATCCTACATCTGGTATATACTCCTGGAAACAAAGAAGCCTGGCCTTCTCCCATCCCCTTTCAACTTAGCCCTCAAATTGCCTCTTCCCCACTAGCATCCTTCCTCCAGGGCTAAGGGGCTACCCTAAGAATTTCACTTACTTTTGGAATCTCTTCTCCCTATCCCCATCTCTGCTGGCTGTTCTGCCCCCTGGGGCAGACAGAAAAATAGCCTTTTCCCTAAAAGTCTCCATGGTGGTAGGCTGCCCTCTTGCCCTATGCATTTTCATGTTTCATGACCCTAAGTATCAAGGGAGGTTTCTTTCACCATGTTGTGTATAAGATCATTCCTGCTGAAGTTGTCCTCAACCAGAAATGTGTCCTGAGAGCCTTAGCACACTTTCCAAATGTTGTATGGGAGGAGTAGGTGCATGGGCCGTAGAGATAATCACTCTCCCTTGCTCCCTTTCCCCATCTTCCCATAAGGACAAAAGATGATGGTGCTGAGAGCATGGTGCTCTAGCCCCCTGTAGAGGTGGTGGTAAGGATTGGATAGTGGAGCCTGGCAACTGAAACTGTTGTTGAAATTTGCATTCCATGTTACCTCTAGGTGGCCCTGCTCAAATTGATAAATGTGTTGTGTCAGCCTATGAGCCCCATGGCATTTGTGCCCCTCTGCAAGACTGCCACTGATGTCGCATTGAAGGTTCAGGACTTGGGTCATACCCCCTACCTTGGCAGCCATCATTTTAACCGTGAGCTGGAGGCGTTGGGTTTCCCTGGAAGGGGGGAGAAAAAGAGAGACAGGAAGAGAGAGAGAGTGAGAGAGAGACAGAGACAGAGAGAGGGAGAGCACTTAGAAATATGGATGTGGGGCTGGAAAGAACATGAGGTGGGAACCTTAGTGACAGAGCTTTATACCTTTGGAAGGAGGACAATGAGAAGACAAGACCAGAGCCTGGGAGTAGAGCCTGGCAAAGCAAATGGCCAAAACTAGAGAATAAGGGGACTAGAGCACCAAGTGGTAGATAAAGCTTAAGGATGTTAGGGGTGGAACAAAGAAAGAGTAGCACTAAGAAATCTTAAGAGAGTGCCTTAGGATGGTGCATGTCCCAGATACAGGGTCTCTCTAGAGTTCCTGGTTCTAATTTTCTGTATCATAGATGCTTCTTTTCTGTCCTTTATCTGTGGGCTTAGTCTTGATCGGGGGGTTGGGGATGGACTGTGTTAGAGATAACACACCTTGACCTGGATGCCTCCTGGTCTTTTCTTTTTCTTCTCTTTTCTGCAGCTACTGAATACCCCTCCCCACAGGTGGTCTTTGTCACTCTGCTAGTAAGTGATGCTATAGGTAACTGGTTTGGGTCTGGATGGGGAATTTGGAGGCATGGCTAAGGAGTATGGGGTGTGATTGGGGTCAGGAAATTTAAGGGAGGGGGGCCTAGCAGCCTAAAGGGCAATGACAGAAATGTGGGAAAAGGGGCTGGAATTTGGGGACCTAAGGTTGACCTCTCCTGTTACCCCTATGTACATTACGCCTTTACCTGGATCATTTCTTGCTGTTCCTCCCACCCACCTCTTCCTTCCCAGATGTCTTCTCTTATGCCATATAAAGTAAAGGATTTTGGCACAACCTCCCTTTGGCTGTTGCATGCTCTTCACCCTCTCAACTCCCTGCATCCTGTGATCAACTTCAAACTGGGCCAAGTGTGGAAAAGAGAAATTCCTAAAATGATTCAGATTTTGGAGAGTAAGGACAGGGGTTGGGAGAAGAAAAGGGAGCGGGGAGATTCTGGAACAGAAGGAAGCCAGGGTGGGAGATAGAACCACCCTGGGTTGGAGGGAGCTTAGGGGCATTCCCTTCCCTATGAGACTTCCATGTTCTTCATAGACAATAGTCCACGTTCAGTAGGCTGAACATGGTCTACCTCTAGAGTAGGTCAAAGCAGAACCCAGTCAAGGCATTTTTGTATGCCTTAGACAAGGCTTGAATCTCAAACCTCTCCCTGCCAAATTAAAATAGGAATATAATTCTTCCTCTTAATGGAGTAATTGTAATTTAGGGGTATCATAGTAATAGCCCAATACATTCATAGTTGCTTATGGTACAATTGCAAATTTAAAAGTGGTTCCAAAAAATAATTTTTTTTCCTTGCCTAACAGCATCATCAGAACAAGTGTGCTTTGTACCATTGTATCCACTGATCCAGTGGTTTGTAACTCATGGTACTCTGAGGAGCTCTGCATTTCTTATTTCCTTTCACACACAAATTATACCACAAAGAAATTGAATTTGCAGAAACATTTGTCATTACATTTTATGGGGTTGTGTTGAATAGAGAATTCTCACTAAAGCTCATTTTCCTTCATGGTCATATGCCACGGAGATGTTCTCATTGAAAATGCCTGGGGAGGCGTTGACTCCTGGCTTTGGCCTGCTGCTCTATGCTATGAAAGCTGTTTCTTAGCTTCTACTGTGCATAAGAGTGCTGTCTTTAGCACTATGATACATGCAACTGACATATCCTGAGCACATTCCCAACATATATAAACCAGACTTTTCAGGCACCAAAAAAAGTTGCATTGAGTAAAAGTTACATTTTAAAGGGCCCTTTGTGTGTCGGACCCTAGGCAGCTGCCTACTTTGCTTAATCCTGGAACTAACTCCAGGTTCAATGTCCTCTTCTACTTCCCCTTGATAGATGAGTGGGAATCTCATGTCTTTGAGGACTGACTTTAATGAGACGAGCCCTCTTTTTTTCCTCTCTTAAATTTAGGGCACATTGAAGAGGACTTTATTCAGAAGGAGTGGGAGAAAAGGCTTCTGCTAGTGAGAAATGAGACATTAGTTCCCTTTTCTCATGTCTCTACCCTTTCTGAAGGAGGCTCTCAGGCCTCTCATCTTGGTTTTTCTTTGAGGGTGACTCCCTGGTAGAAGAGGCTACACTATCCTGTCTGGTTTCTGTCCTCAAATCTTAATTGATTCACTATTTTATTATTATTTCTGGAGGCAGTAGGGTTAATTAAGTGACTTGCCCAGGGTCACATAGCTAATAAGTGTCTGAGGCTGGATTTGTAATAATATTTATTCAATCATATTTTATTCAATGGTCAAGTCTCATCCCTATGTTTTCAAGCCCTACCTAGTCTATCTTCCTGAATCCTTTTGTTATTTACTTAGGTTGTCCCCCATTCCCCAGCTTCCATCTCCATACTTCTAGTTTCAGCCCTTAGACTTGTTACCATCTTTCTCTCTCCACTCTGTGAATGACCTCTCCCTGACTGTGTTTTGTGTTCCACTTTCTGTTACTCAAGTTTTCAATTCATACGTCACTGACCATTGATGATGACGACTGGCTGAATGATCTTATCAAAGCGATGTTGAAGAAGATCCAAAGCCTCAAGTGGTCACAACAGGGGAAGGAGAAGGTACATACATACCTGTCTTATGGGGGTTCGAGTGGACCTGGAGGGCATAAGGATGGTAGGAGCATCCAGGAAGGAGTTAAGTGATTTTTCTTGAGCCCCAAAGATCTGAGAGAAAGGAGAAACAAACAGCGGATGATCAATGACAGTAGTGGTGGTAGTAGTAGTAGTAGTAGTAGTAGTAGTAGTAGTAATACCTTGCATATGGTTAGCACTTTATGCTCCTCAAAGCTCATTCATGTTCACTATCTCAGTGGAGGCTTTATACAACACTGTGAGGCAGGTTGGACAGGTGCTATCTCCATATTACAGGTGAGGAAACTTAAGTCACTAAACTAAAGTCATAAAACAAGTTAGGAGTAGAATAGACCAGAACCCAGTTCTCCCACACTTTCTTTCTAGTCGGGACCCTAGGCTTGGGCCCCTAGTAAGGAGGAGAATCACTCTTCTAAGAAGGGTCAGATGTGACTCCAAGCTTTTTCACTGGCTGTTCCCCCGTGCCTGGAATTCACTCCTTCCTCATCTTTGCCTCTTACTTTGCCTGGCTTCCTTTAAGTCTAAGCTAAAATCTCACCTTCCATAAGAAGCCTTTCCTAGTCCTCCTTAATGTTAGTTTCTTTCCTCTATTAATTATCTCCATTTTATCCTGTTTATAGTTTATAGTACATTTGTATGTTGTCTCTCTCATTAGACTGAGAGTTCCTTGAGAGCCAGGGCTCTCTTTTGCCTTTCTTTGTATCCCCAGCACTTAGAATAGTGCCTGGCACACAGTGCTTGTTGACTGACACTTCCCTCAGTGGCTGAAGGGTAAGATATAGAGCTCTCCTCTTGTCCTCTACTATTTTTTCCAGCCACTGTCACACAGATCTGTGCACCTGCAGGGTGGTAAATGGAAAAGAATGCTGAATTTGAAGTCAGGAGGCATGGGTCATTTAACCTCTCTGTGAACCTCAGCTCTCACATCTATAAAATATTTGTACTCTAATCATATTTATGCTGCCTGCTTCATAGGGTTATGAGGAAGGTGCTTTGTTAAACTTTAAAAGGCCCTCTATACTAATGTGAGTTATTTTTGCTTTTCTTTGGGCGTCTCAGAACCTGAAACTTCTGGTGTGGCAATAGTAGAAGACGTGTGTGTGTGTGTGTCTGTGTGTGTGTGTGTGTGTGTGTGTGTGTGTGTGTTGGGAGGGGTGTTGATAATGAGAGAGGGGAGGGATGCACACATATAACTTAGGATACCATTTTTGCTAAGACCCTAACCATCCATCTTTCTTCTCCTTCTAGTCCTTCTTATACAGACTCATTGGCTATACCCTGAGGGGCTCTGAAGACCATAGCTTCGTGTCTTTGATGTTGGCTGATATACTAAATGGTGCTCAAGAGGAAGAGCTGGAAAGAGATCTGAGGCCCCAGGCTCCAGGAAGGAGGCACATGTTAGAAAAAGTTAGAGTATTAGAGCATAGAATTTTTGAGCAAGGGCTTCAGACTCTCCAGTCAGGAGTCTTCTTTCAAAAAAAAATACTTATTGGTATCTTTTATTTTTACAATCAGCTTCATTTCCAAGTATATTCCTCCCCCTCCTCTATCCTTTCCGGTGAACCATGCCTTGTACAAAGAATAAATAAGAAACATAAAGCAGTTCAGCAAAACTAACCAGGACATCAGCTGAGTCTGGCAAAGGTCCACATCCACGGTCCTCCAGCTCTGCGAAGAAGGGCGGGTGGTGACCCTTCTCTCCTCTTTGTGGCTAAGCTTGATCATTATGCTTGCGCAACCTCCCGTTCCTTTTTGGTGGTGATGTTCTTCCCATCCACGTTGGTCATGGATGTTGGCCTCTTGGTTCCGCTGACTTGCCTTTGTGTCAGTTCATACGTGTCTCCCCACGCTTCTCTGAATACTTAATATTTCTCATTTCCAAAGGCCCAGTCCTGTTCTGTTGTATTTACATATCACATTTGGTTTAACCATTTCCCAATCAATGCAGCCAGTGGTTTTCAACATCTCTGCAGCAGGTGAAGTGTGGGGACTTCACTTTGTATCAGGTGAGATCTGGCTAATCTGATAACCTAATCTGCATTAATACATCAATGCCTACTAATGGATATTGACCATTGATCCAATTGCTGAGGGTTATAAAGTGGGTATGGACTACATAGCACTGGACTTGGAGCCCGGAAGACCTGTGTTCAAATTCTCCCACTGACATTTTTTAGCTGTATGACCATTCAATCTCTACGAGCCTTAGTTTTCTCTCCTGTAAAATTATGGGGTTGACCAGATGGCTCTAGAGGTCTTTTCCAGCTTTAGATCTACGAGCCCATCATTCTCTGAAAACGAGCAGATGAAGTCATTCTACCTTCTGACCAACAGGGCATTTGTAGGGCTTTGAGAGCATAGTATACACACACACACATTTTATCTTCCTCAATTTAGGAGATTGCTGCCAGTCCTCCCGCTTCCTATAAACTTCCTACATACTCTAGAATCAGAGAAGCAGGGTGGTGTAGTAGGAAGAGTTTTGGACAAGGAGTCAAGACACCTGGGTTCTAGTTGGGGTATTACCACCAACTATCTAATGCTGGGAAGTCATTTTGCCTTGCTAAGCCTAACTTCCCCATTAGTATAAGGAGATATTTGGATCAGAGAAGATCACTAAGATCTGTTCCAGTTCTGAAAATCCCTTGAAAGCCAATCTTGACATTTTAATGGGTTCTTTTAGAGACAGAGTAACCCAAGTGCCCAACCCAAGAACTATCTTTTACTCTTTACTCTCCTCCATCCCTCATATAAGCACTTATACATAAGATTTGTTTCCTGACTTGTATGCAACCCAAAATAAATACAACAGGATTTTTATTTTATTTTATTTTTTTTTGGTGAGAGGGGCCCATCACAACTAGGGGAAGCAGGAAAGATCCACTAAACCATGTGGCAGCTATTGAATGAGCTAGAGGCTTCAAGAGGTCTGGAAGTGAGGAAGGAGGACATTCCAGAAAGAGGGGAGAACCTGGGTAAAGACAGAAGATTGGGGGATGGAGTGTTGTGTAAAAGGAACAGAGCAGATTAAAAAACCCAAATGAACAGAGTATAGCGTTGCTTACAGGAAACACATATAATACTTTAGATCATAGCTAGATTGAATTAGATAAATAATTTCCCTCAAATCTCGTTGCCAAAATCAAATGGCCAAATTTTGTCTATTGTATTTGTATAACAGACAGCTCTCACATCCTTCTCCTTCTCTCCAGTCATATGTTCCTAGTTCGGACTCTCATCAGCTCCCCCCTGGACTGTAGCCATATTTGACCAGTTGGCCTCCTTACATCTTGTGTCTTTCCTCTCCAATCAAACAGAGATTCCTTAAGGGCTGGTCTAACCATGTCCCTCCTCTGCTTAGAACTCCCTATTTCCTTTAGGATCAGATGCAAATTCTTCTAGTAATCATTTAAAACCCTTGAGAATCTGGTTCTAAATGTCCTTTCCGGGCTGATAATACATTGTTTCCATCAAACACTGTACGTTCCAACCAAACTGGTCCATTTGGGGCTCATCTCAATGTAGATGACTCTCGGGTCCAACCAGTCCTAGTCTCCCTCCTGAGCTCCAGTCCCACATCTCCAACAGCCTATTGGTCTTCTCAGACTAGATATCCCATAGACATCTCAAACCCATGTACAAAGTAGGACTTGATATTCTGCCCCATCCCCCCTAAAAAAACCAGACCTAAGGCAGCACTATTCTTGTGGTCACTTGGGGTCCAACCTTGGTGTTCTCCTTGATTCCACATCTTCCTTTGTCCTCTATGGTCATTTCTACCTCCATAACATCTTTTGTATCTTGTCCCCTTCTTTCTACTCACACAGGCACCACCCTGGTGCAGTGTGTCAGCCCTGGCCTTTCTATACCAAGGCCCCATATGTAGTAAGTGTGCTTTGGCCTTCTTTCTAGGAACCAAGCCTGCAATTTATGCTGGTTGTAGAGTAAGCTGAGCAGTTGGAGGAGGTCTCTGCTTGAGCCCCCACAGGCTACGTTCCCTCAGTTGTTAGGGGACCAGTGACACAACTTCCATTAACCTTTTAATACTGGATAACTTTTACAAAGAGATACGTTTACTTAAAACATATAGCAAGAACAAATGTGGTTAGTGGCAGGACTTATACCTATATCTTCCTGGTTGATTCCTTTATACACTATGCCACCCTACCTCTCCAAAGACTAGACAAACTTTAAAAAAGAGTAAATTAATGTCCGACTTAGAAATGTGTGTAGTACTCCATGGAATATAAATACATTTTAAGAAAACTCCAATGGAAATATACTATAGTAGGCTCAATCTTAAAGGGGACAGCTAAGTGGCTCAGTGGCGAGAGTAGAGTCAGGAGGACCTGAGTTCAAATCTGGCCTTAGACACTTACTAGCTGTGTGACCCTGGGCAAGTCACTTAACCCTGTTTGCCTCAGTTTCCTTATCTGTAAAATGTTAAACCACTCTTCTAAGGGAGACTATGATTTCCATCATTGTGGAGAGAGTAGGGAGTGGGTAGCCCAGCAGAGGAGGGGCAGCCAGGATCCAGCCCACCTGGAATGAATGATCATTCCTTTGCTCTCCTATCACCAAAGAGGGGTGCATATGGAATCCAAGGGAAAGCTTAGAAAGCACAGTTGGTAATGGAGTGATTCACTTCTCCTGCAGTCCTTTTTTTCCTTTTCCCAGGAGCACTCAATCAATTCCCTTTAGGTACATTATAGCTTTTTTTGCTGGGCTCTTGAACCTGGATCCAGGGCAGCCTGGGTTCCCTATGAGGTTGCTTCTGCCAGTCGTTGCAGGGAGCCTGCTAGGATGCTGATAAGGAGACGGAAAGGCTTCTGGAACTTGGAAGTTCTCAAGGTCCTCCTGCAGCTGAGACAAGGGGGGAGAGTGGCCCAAGGAGGCAGAGGCCAAAGCCTGAGGCACTCACCTCTTGACTCCTTAGAGTTGTAGCTCTCTTCTCTTGTCCATTAGATGCTTGCTAGACTCCATATCTCCTTGGGCCTCAGCTGGCCTGATATTTTATAGATGATCTCTATGGTGAGACCAATTTCCTCAGCCAATCCAATAATTCTTCCTGTACAGTGTGACTTCTAGGTCAACCAGTGACTTATCAGAGACATAAATTGATCCAAGTCCCTTTCATCTAGTTGGAATGCCTTTCATTGATTTGTTTCAAGTGACATGTGTTCCCATCTGGTTAAGCTATGGAGGCATAACATTTTACCTCTTGCTTTAGGTGAGGTAGGGTAATTTGATTGATTCTCCCAATCAATCTTACATTAACACTTAATTCAGTCAATCTACACAAATTTATTAAACATCTAGTATTAGGGACTATTAGGTATTGAGGTCACAAAATGAAACAATTCTTTTTAAAAAAAATTTTTCATTTTAAACTTAAATAAAAATTAGAAAAAAAAATCATTCCCATGTACATAGTGGAACATAGAGGACTCAATGTAAAACAATACATTTCCATTTCAAACTGTTTAATTTTTTTAAAAAACTATGTAATAAATACAACATATTGTTTTCAAAGCTAACCTGCTTTTCTATGCTTCCTCCTAAGTTTTCTTTTGTTCTCTGCTATGTACTTTTTTCCTCCTTCTCCCTAGAAAAAGCTATAATTAAATACAAATATACCTACATACACATATATCTATATGCACATATACATATATGTTAAGATCATTCTATACATATTTCTATTTGTCAGTTCTTTCTTTGGAGGTACATGGCATCTTCCTTCATAGTCCAAGTCTTTCCATGGTTTTCTAAAACCAACCAGGTCATTATTCCTTATATTACAGTGGTATTCCATCACAATCATGTACTACAACTCGTTTAGTCATTCCCCAATTGAAGGGCTTCTATCACTGTAGCCAATCTGATAGGTATAAGGTGATATTTCAAAGTTGTTTTAATTTGCATTCCTCTAATCAATAATGATTTAGAGCATTATTTTTCATATGACTATATATAGGCAAATGAAATAATTCTTGACCTCAATTGGCGTACATTTTATCTAGGGAAATGACATGCACACTTATATACACAAAATACTTTGTTATGCAGTTGTGTCCAACTTTTCATGATCCTATTTGTGGTTTTCTTGGCAAAGGTAATAGAATGCTTTGCTATTTCCATCTCCAGTTCATTTTATAGATGAGGAAACTGAGGCAAACATGGTTGAGTGACTTGTCCAGGGTCACACAGCTAGTAAATGTCTGAGGCCAGATGTGAACTCAGGAGAATGAGTCTTCTGATTCTAGATCTATCTACTATACCAGCTAGCTGCCCCTATGCAAAAAATATTCAAAATAATGCAGAATAATCTTTGAGGGAAGGTATGGTAGTAGTGGTGGGGGCAATCTAGAAAACTTTCGCAAAGAGAGGGTTGTGCTTAAATAGAACATCAAAGGATGCTAAGGATTCTAAGAGGTTAGGAAGGATTATGTTCCAAATATGGATAAGTCAAAGGATACGAACAAGGAATTTTCAGAAAAAGAAATCAAAGCTGTCTACACTCATATGGAAAAGTGCCCTAAATCACTATTGATTAGAGAAATGCAAATTAAAACAACACTGAGGTCCTGCCTATACCTATCAGATTGATTAATATGACAGAAGAGGAAAATGACAAATGTTGGGGGAATGTGGGAAAATTGAGATACTAATGCATTGTTGGTGTATTCAAGCATTCTGGAAAGCAACTTGGAACTATGCCTGAAGGCTGTAAAACTTTCTGACCCAGCAATACTACTATGAGGTCTGTATCCCAAAGAGATAAAAAAGGAGAAATTACCTATATGTACAAAAATATTTATAGCAGCTCTTTTTGTGGTGGCAAAGAATTGGAAATTGAGAGGATGCCCAGCAATTGGGGAATGGCTAAAAAAGCTGTAGTATATGATAGTGATGGAATACAATTGTACCATTAGAAATGATGAGCAGGATGGCTTCAGGAAACCTGGAAAGATTTACATGAACTGATGCAAAGTGAAGTGAGCAGAACCAGAAGAACATTATACACAGTTAACAGCAATATTATACAATGATCAACTGTGAATGACTTAGCTATTCTCAGCAATACAATGATCCAAAACAATTCTGAAGGACTTAGGATGAAAATGCTATCCACCTCCAAAGAAAGAACTGATGGAGTCTGAA